ACCTGATAAGCGGTCAAAGGCCTTAATTCTCATTATTGACATATTTAAGGATGTCATGTTTGTGAAATAAACTGGAGAAATCCCAGTACTTTTCTCTCCAGGTAACATTACAATATTCATCCTTGCAAAACAGCTGAAAATGCAGTGTTTACACCTTGTATTAACATCTTGATGGACCGGGTTACAAAAGTAAGTGTATAGTCCAAATGCTTCTTAGAATTCATTGTGATCTTTTCACTGAGAAGTTCAGGATTGCACAAAACAATATATATAAAATATTTTACAAGTTTTAATATTCTATATAATAATAATAATATTTGGGTCAGTAAGATTTTTGCAAAGAAAGTAACATTTATTTCACAATAAATTCATCAAAAGCAATAGTAAAGTCATTTAGAATATTACAAAAGATTTCTATTTCAAATAAATGCTGTTCATTTGAAGTTTTTTTTAAAGAAAATCCTGACATATACAGTATGTATCATGGTTTTCACAAAAATATTAAGCAGCACAACTCTTTTCAACATTGATAATAATAAGAAATGTTACTTGAGCACCAAATCAGCATATTATAATTATTTCTGAATGATCATGTGAGATTGTGGTAATGCTTCCACAAAAAAATCAGCTTTGCATCACATAAATTAAATTTTATAATATATTAATATACAAAATTATTTTAAAGTGTAGTAATGTTTCATAATATTACTGTTTTTACTCTATTTTGATCAAATAAATGCAGCCTTGGTGAGCATAAGAGACTGCTAAAACTGTATACATAGGAGATACAGTTGAGACAACAATTGAGAAGAGTGATCTGACTTTCCTGTCCTCTTGTGATTTGATCACCCGAGACGGATGTTAATACAAGTTGCAAACAAAAAAAGTGAATAAATGGGAGTGACATTAATTTGCTTTCCCATCCTCTCTGGACTTGATCTGATTGGTGGTAGTTTCTCCCCAGAGTCCTGCTCCACAAACACAACTCTTGTTGTGTTATATATCTCTTACCTTATCACTGCAAGCTACCATCACACACAAAAGGAGGATATCTCCATTAGCCAAAGGATTTGTTGAATTACTGAATGCCCGACAGGAACAAGAGAGCCATAAAGTTCTTCTCATAAATGGACTTATCCCTTAAGGAAACTGCAATATCTTTATAATAAAAAATTGCATTTAGATTTTGTTTTGTATGTTTGTATATGTTTTATATTTTTACTTAGAACTAAAACAGAAAAAAATAACTTTCTCAGTTTTATTTTAATAGAGAATGCACATTACAAATTCTTCAAGGACTATGTAAACTTATGTGCAGAACTGTACAGAGAAAGAAGGAGATCTCTAACTATGATCCTGTAAATCTGCATTGAGTAAAATCTTTGGGTCATGTACTGAGTGACTGACTTCGATCTGAAGGCTTCCTCCCCTTATGCTGCTCTGCTCTCTGTATAAATGCATGGAGCCGTGGTGTTGTATATCTCTCAGCCTGACAGCTGATCCGCTGGCCCCTGTGCCAGTTTAATATGTGGGTTCTCTCTGCTGGGACCGCCATGCTTCTGCTCTGCTCTATGTGCACTCTCTCTCATTCCAGCACTGAGAGGAAAAGAGAGGCAGAGTGAAAGAGGGAGAGAGAGAAACTAGGCCTCATCCATCATTTCATTAGACAGCAATGTGGCGGCCATGATAAAACTCGCAGCTTCGGTGGTTTGGTTCCGTGGCCTGAGAACCCTTAACAGGTTCAGATGCAGGAAATTACTGCTGCCTTCTCAAGATACAGACTACAAGGACCTCCAGAAAAAAGAGGGCATGTGTGCTTGTGAGAGAGCGAATGAAAAGTGTGAGAGAGGTGAGGAACCGCTCTGTGAACTGTGAGCCCATCCACTGCATTACATAGCTCATTTATATAGAATCTTAGACCAGATAGTTTCAAACTGGGGTCCAGGGCTTGGGGGTCTGTGAAAAATGTACAATCCTAAATCTGCAATATGCTAGCAATCACATAATTTACTACTTGGCACAAGCTGATTTGCCTCTGCTGAATCTGCAGCCAGAATCTCCAGACTGCTCAACTTTTAAATAGTCTGGTTCAGTGTTTTCTGTAAGCTGGTCCTGTAGCTTGCTATCAGAATTCCTCTGAAATCTTCCACCTCCCCCAGCACCACCTGTCTAGATCTGCTACGGGATTTATATGCCTAAACATGCAGCAGTAGCATATCTTACATACTCACAGCAGCGTGAGCTCCAAGACCAAATACATTAAGACTGTCATATCCATTAACATGGGCGACATTTGGAGAGAGAGAGAGAGAGAGAGAGAGAGAGAGAGAGAGAGAGAGGTACGGGTAACACTAAGGGAACAAGAGGAAGACTACGGTGTTCTGTATTATCTGAAATGTAAAAGGTCTGCTGAAAACAGGGCAGCACAGATGCTAAACTACATTACAATGGACTTTATGTATGTCCTTCTGGGACAACTGAAATAAAATAATGTATAAATTAAAATTTAATACCATGAAGAGGCTTGTGTAAGATGTATTTTTAGAGGCAGGGTAGGGACGCAGCTTAATTTAAAAACAACTGAAGTCAATGGAAAGCCTCCACAAAGCATTCAAAATATTATATAGTTTAAATATTATTTAGTTAAGTCTCTTTTTACTTAGATCTGAGTACAGTTAGTGACCTTGTTGAGATGTGTTAAACATCTCCATTTACTGCACTGCAGTTATCTTTTAGCTGTTTAGGAGCATCAACTGAGACATTACAGAGATCTCATTTGTGATTTTTCCTTCCTATGGGTTGTTTACCGACAACACAAATTTTGTCTTACACTCTTTAAAATAAAGGCATCTATGATTCCTTGAAGAGCCTTTAACATCCATGTAATCTTCCCATTTTACTAAAGGTTCTTTATAGTGGAAGTAGCTTCTTTAGATTATTAAAATGTTCTTCACACTAAAAAAATAGGTTTGTTTAAGAACTGTTCACTTAAATATTCTTTGGCGACCCCAAAATGGTTCCTCTATGACATGCAAAAAAAACAAAAAAAATGTTGGAACATTTGGAACATTATTTATTTTTAGGATACTGTCCTTAGAAATGTCATCCTCTTTGAAAATCATGACTAGAATCCAACATGTCTAAAGACCTCCTTCCATGACAATTTTTTTTTTATTGAATACTGATGGAGCAAGAATTAAAAAAAAAAAAAAACATCAGAACACAACTTTAGCGAATGGGTGTCTTCTTTACTTTCTGACATATTTCATAAATTTCTGTTCAATTAACAAAATGAACACTGTACAGAGCTACAATTTTAGCTCCCGCGTATTTCACACATAAATCTCCATTATGTCAGAAGCTGTCAATATGAGCCCACTTTGCACATCCATCACAATAAATCCACATTTCCCATGATTTCAATCGGTTTCAGTACAACAGGTGTTCTGGAAAGAGTTGTAGTGTTTTTGTTGCCAGGTAGTGTTTAAGGAGAAAATTACATCCTAGGGGCCTTTTACTCCAGGTGACCTTTAGCCTTATCATCCCTATCATAGTACAGTACATGTGAGAGGCTAAATCTTACAATGCTCAATATTTTAGGGTCAAACTGTTTCATAAAGTGAAAAAAGGACTATGATGAAGCTGCTACAGGCAGATGTTCCCCAAGAAAAATCAGCTCTGAATTGACAAACATTAGTGAGGACAGTCAGATAAAGCCTGATAAACACATACTCACTGTCTGACTAACCATTCCAGAAATCTTGAGCCTTATTTGACACAGTCCCCTTTGATTAGGTGTTGACCATTTTCAAGTGACCCAGCTTTAAGACACACCAGATCAATTTTAAACTTTACAAGTTTGTAAACTACAAAAGGAAATTTCAACAGGCTATGAAAAACTATGTTTTTATTTTTACCAGTAGGACTGTTCAGCATTTACTGGGATGGTCCCATTTCGACTCTTGTTTTATGGGCTTTCAATTCTTGAAAAAGACAGATGCACTTTGCTGCTAAGAATAGACCTGTGTAAAACTCTTATGTCCTGCACTGAGATAAGAAACGGATGCTCTTCTTTCCCCATCAAAAACAAGGAACGTGCCAAGAGCCATCTATGCCATGTAGTTATCTATTTTACTTTCACAATCCATGTTTTTTTTTTAAAGCAAGAGTGTATAAAAATATAAGGGAGCGATGATTCAATTAGGACAAAAGGAAAATCTTGTAAAAGGAAACTTCTTCACACTATATGGTTTTGTCTTTGTTAAAACATTCATTATATGTCCTAGAATAAAGATCTTAATATGGACTTGAACAACCAACCAAGAGGTACAATCTAATTTGGTATATTGCATGATGATGTGGATTCTTGATATAGTGTGTGTGATAGTATTGACAATTGTTTCACTTTTTTGAGATTGCCTTCAAGAGGATAAGTTGAATAAGCATTGGAGTTGCTAACAAAAGTGTCAAATAACTTTCAGTGTAAGCAAATTCAAACATATCCATTCTTTCTGATTTAGATTTTTAGAAGTTAAATCTACTCGCATTATGTTAAACAAAATCTTAAAATGACATTTTTGTGATGTTTCTTTTCTTTCTTTTTAGTTAAAAAACCGCAACATTGCATTTCCTTGATGTTAACACTTTTTATTAATTTATAATGAGGAATTTAAAATGTCTGGCTGGAGAACAGGCTCAAACTCTTACATTTCAACTCTTCAGAGATGTCAAAAGTATGATGGTTTTATAATTTAAAAGAAACGTTTCATCTGTTTGAATTTATTCTTTACAACTAGAAAATGTTCACATGAAATATTTGTCTTTAAAATCAAAGCCTAGGACAGAAAAGTCCCGCTATGTGTGAGCTTAAGACTGATGCTGTAATTCCGCAGGTCAGGCTTTATTCAAAAGTTGCGGTGTCCTCAATTTTTATAGCTAATACATTTCATACTGTTATGAGTTAGTGCATGTTTATATGCATATATCCATATCCAGCCTACCTGCCAAGAGCTTGAAGGAATCTCTTGAAATTTGCCCAGCCCGCCAAAGGTGTAACATCTGTACATATGATCCTGAGACTCGGAGCAGTGCCACAAGAGCCCGAAACTCACTGCGTCCTTGTTTTTCAGGTGCTCCTTCACTATCCAAGCGGGAGAGATGAAACTAAAACTGCAAAGCGCGACCAGGGCGGAGGACAGGAGCACCCAAAAACACCCGACACAGCTGAACATCCTCACGGCAACGTGGGGCAACGAGACCGGAGACAGATCGATTCCCAGCCCTTTCCAATTCCGATCAAACAGCGCGTGCATCTGGAGCACGCTCACTCACTGTGTGACATTAGACGAGCACCAATAATCACATAAACACGTGAGTTAAAGATGCGTTAAGACAGATGCACTAGTGAGCATAAGCACGCGTAACTTTTCAATTACATGTAATTCCAGCACGATCCAGTTCAATAGAAAAGATATTCCAGTTCATCTGAGAGGAAGCAGGTGCAGGACAAAAGACAAGCGTCCGTCACACCCAGAGCTCAAGCACTCAGAACTGCCACCAGCAGGTGCTCACTATGTAGCAAGATCTGAATCCGCTCTGTCTGCGCTACTCACAGCCCACATACCACCACCACCACCATCATCATCATCATCTTCCTCGGCTCTCGCTGCAGGAGTGAGAGCACAAACTTGCTCAAACCCCAGTCGCATGGATGTGGGCGTCACCGCCACTGCGAAGGTGTTCAAACTTGTTTTTGATTCATGAAAATCTGAATCACACACTTTTTTTTTTCAAACCCTCAAACGTGTAATAAACTCATGCCATCATTATAATTTCACGCTCTGAGTTTCGTTACCTTACCTAACCTTAACATCCTCGCACTGATAAAAGCACATTATTAAATATGAGATGAACAAGTATAATTCAACAACACGAATGAATAAAAAACGTAAACAACAACAAATCAGGTATTATTTACGTTTACTTTCACTTTGTTTTACGTTTTATCTCGTATTAAGATTCTGAAGGAGGCCTATTTTTAAAAATGTAAGTGTCTTACGCTGCCCTCTGGTGGTGGTTTACCGCGCGGGGCACTTTTCACTTGTAATATAAAAAATTAACAAATATTGAGCATCAAACTTATTTATTTTTAGTTATGCTCAGCTTTCTTTTGCAAGAATGTAAAATGATTTAAAATCCTGAAAAATGCTTTTAAAATGCTTAAAAGTGAAAGACTGAAAAAATTTAATTAAAACAAAGGGAAACTGAATGGGAAAATCATAACTTTAAAAAACAGGCACACTACAAACTAATAAGTAATGTCACTCCAAAACTCACTAGCCAATGAGAACCTGTATCTGTAAGACAACTTTTCTGCTCAGTGAAAAGGAAAAGTGCCTTTTTTTAATGTTCCCAGAAAACATGGTAATGGTTTGTGTTTTGGGTTCCACATTTTCTCCAGCATACTGAAAAATTACTACCATGGTGTGATTTCTGAGAAGGCGTAATAAAATATCTTATCAAACTTTTCCAGCCAAACTCCCTCTTCTTCATTCATTTCTATGCATTGTGTTTATATATTGGCACAAATCCAATTTCAAAGTGCAAATCAATAAGTCCTGCCTACACAGGTATCTGTAAAACGCTTGTTCAATCGAACCCATAAACAAAAACAAAAGACAAACACTGCATCAAGAGGCGTTTCAACAATATATGTATTTAAATCAAACACATTTAAATATATTATAGATTAAGCACACATATACATCAGAAAACATATTAGTGGTACATAGTACCAAAAGTCTTTTTCCTGTTTCTCGTCCACATCTCAATGAGGTCCAAAGCAATAACTTCATGTCCAATTACACGTTTCAAGGGGAACGGTCATCATTGAGATTTGCTTAGACAGAGTTTGACATATCATACAAAAAAAAAAAAAGACAATCACCATAAAAATAACTAACATTAATATATGGTGGTAAACCAGGAATCCACATTTATACAGAACAGGGATAAACATTGCCCTAGCAGTTCAGTTTGTATATCTCTAAGTCTAGAATCAGATCTGGACAAGGTTCTAGAGGGAGTCAGGGAACATTTTCCAGGCCCAAGTTCATTAGTTCAGTCACTTCAGGTCCATGAGAAAGGGACTGAACAGTCTCAGACACTGGCTGACTTATGTCAACTATGGCATACCGTAAATCTGTAAATAAAACTGTACGTAGCCACCTTGGATATTTATGCATTTTTGTTTTTGTTTGTTTTTACTAAAACAGGCCTAAGCACTTCATAGCCATTCTTTTAAAATGTGAACAAAAAAGAAAGATAAAAGAGAAGTCCGAGATAAGAACTAAGATAAGGAAGGAAATATTTAAGTCACAGCCACATTGTAGTTCCTGTTCAGATTCTTGTGCACTTCCTGTTGGTCGACATGGTAAACAGCTAAACGCAACAGTTTGAAAATCTTGAAAGTCTTGTTCTGAATGTTGAGATTTTGCTCTGTTCGTCTGCTGTGCGACAGCTCTCGCTTGTTTGTTTACAGGTTTATTCATTTCTGTAGCTGAAGTCATTACACTCCTCTTCAAATAATAAACAAGTCCTTCTGAGTGCTAGAAATGATGGGGTGGATCATACAGAAAACTTATTTTGGCTATTAGTGTGCATATCTAAACACTCACACTCTCACACACAAACACATGCAGGAAGTCATGGAATGCCTCTTTCAGGTCCTCACTGATATGTTAATGTGTTCGTCTTCTGGTCGTTTGCTTCTCCAGTCATTATGCAGAGGGGCGACAGGAGGGAGGGTAGGAGCTGCTTCCACACTGAACGAGAGGGTCATAGCTGATGAAAACAGAACAGGTCACCTTTCATACAGAAATCTATAACTGAAAAATAACCAGCCACTGCACTTCCAGAAGTAGTCCTGTCATTCTAAAATAAGCTTAAATTGGCTACTAATCCCAGAACCGCCAGACAATGACCACAGGGTTAGTTCACCCAGTAATGAAAACTCTGGCATAATTGTCTCACTCCACCTTGTTCCAAACCTGCATAACTTTCTTCTAAGGAACCTAAATGGAGATGTTCAGCAGAATAATGAGGCTACAAGGAAAAATGTCCATTTCGGCATATTTAAACTTGCCTTATTGTGGTTTGCGGAGGCATCCACACAGTAAATGAAGTAAGGGATAATGTACTAACAACTGGTTATAGCAAAATAAACCTGGCCAGGTGATAACAACTGACACAATGTACATTATCCCATGTATTACGTGACTAAAATAAGTTTAAACATGACAAAAATCTAAGGGATAATGTATTGTACAGTCATACCACTTCTTACACAGCTTTTCATGTCCACTTCAAATCATTTTAACATCTCACCGGTCAACAAATAAATAAATAAATGAAACAAATACTCCGTTTTGGCCATAAGTGTTTTGGAGCACCAAAAGCATTGATCAAAACAGTGACATTCAATTAGCACTTCCCTGATGATGCATTTTGACTGTCTGTCTATTTCATGCACAAAATGTGGATAAGCTATAAGAGGTAGACATGTCAGCATTGTGGAGATATGTATCTGCTGAAATATTGAGAGGCGACTCATTGTGAAAGAGCTTTACTAAACTGATTTAATTTGTTGCCTGAGAACACAACACCCTGAACGGCATACCAAGCTGAATTATGCAAATATAACAGAAATTAATAACTGGACATGTATTTTAGTTTTTTGGCCAAATTAAAACTTTAATTTTGGTTTTGCTAAAACATTCATTTTGGCGCATCACTATATAAAAAAAAGAGAAGCATAAAAATTCTGAGGAATTGCCTTTGTTTTCCATAGAAGAAAGTAAGTCTGGGTTTGGAACGACATGAATAAATTACAGAATTTTCATTTTTCAAATTGAAGTTCAAGAAACAAATCTTTAGGAATGCAAAGACAAAATAATTTGTACTTTTGTTGACTTCACTTCAGGGCTTCCCTAGTGTCCCTGCTGCATGACGTCATTGACGATCATCTTTGCGATCTTCCATGCCATCTCTTCTTGTGCCTAACACACCAAAAACAAAGATAGTACATATCATGAACTATAACAAGCTTAAATCCATTTCCATTCAATAAAAAGACATTAGAGAAGATGCCACACATAATCTGAATGAAATAAGCAGGTGCACACCTCATCGGAGTTTCCTTGCACCCATTTCTTCATTGCTTGAGAAAACATGGAACCTGATAGAAAGGAAATAAAGAAAGAAAGAGAGTGAGTGAGCTGGACAGAGCAGTGAATCCTGCTTTTCACTGCTCTTCACCCCACATCACCGGCTAGTTATCGCCATGGCAACACTCTCTGCTCTCAAACTGAAGACATCAAGAGCACTTCAGCAGAAGTCATAACTAAGAGCCAACTCGCACAATACAAAACATGTGCAAGTGCGTGTCAGTGTGAGATAGAGGAGAAAAAAGTCTTCAAGAGCAAGAGTGAGTGTGTGTGTGAGTGTGTGTGTGTGTGTGTCTTACCCTTGGATTTCTTCACATCTGGTTCTGGCTCGGCCTCTCTGATGAACTGGCCCAGCTCATTCACCTTCCCAAAGGTCATTCTTCTGAGATGAAAGCAAGAAAAGCTGAATTTGGATCTGAATCCAGTATTTTGTGCATAACACCAGGTTTCAAAAATAAGAATCTTTTTCTGTTGGCCCAGGCGGATCACAAAAAATGGTACATTATATTTCTAGCTCATTTTTTATATGCCAGAAAAAAATAGTGCTTTTTCAACTATGTCAGCTAGTGAGAAAATATTACTTTGATGTATAAAATGTTCAACTTTTAGTGTTGCACGATCAGTGTTGGGCAGTAACGCGTTACTGTCATTTGATTACTTTTTTAGTAACGGAGTAATTTAACAAAATTATTTTCGTTATAATTTTCAAAATATTAATTAGAGTATAGTTACAAGCAGAGATCTCTATACGTTACTGCCGCGTTACATTGCTGACAGAATGCAGTGTCGAGTCAAGTGCCAGTGGATTAGAGACCTACTCTCCCGCGAGACCCAACACAACAGAGTGCTGATGGGTGACAAGATGGGTGAGTGCTGGTGCGGGCGGGTAGACACACTCGTGTGTGTGCGGGATGCGGGAGAATAAAATGATTCACGGGACTCACGCAAAATAGAAATATATAAACATAAAATATCTAAACAAATAAATTGTTATTCATCTATTTCTCAAAAGCAACACAAACTAATATAAATATAAACGATTAACAGGTGCAAGCGTATGCAGAGTTTCTATTTAGGCTATAATACGTGTTTGCAGCGTTGAGCAATGCAGTGCTGAAATTTGCGTGCTCACGAATCCTCTCATTATAACACACGAATTGTAGACATTATGAAAGATTCATTATGCATATATTTATTGTGTTATAACAGAAATTTGTGAGATTGCGATGAACTGAGATGTCTTTTAAAGATTATAAATGCAGCGCTCTTTGCTGGCATTCTGCCATGCCAAACCATGCACGCAGCAGTCACTTGCTTTAGTTAAAAATAACAGTGTTCTGTGAATGTTGATGCTTTAATAACAAATATTTATCGGGAGCATGTTGCTGGGATTTCATAAATTTCATGGAGAAAAAAAGTAACGTAACTAGTAATGTAACTAATTACTAATTACTTTTGAAATAAAGTAATCAGAACAGTAACGCGATTACTTTTAAAAGGAGTAATCAGTAATTTGATTACATTTTCAGAGTAACTTGCCCAACACTGTGCACGATATACCGGTACTAAAAAGGTATCATAATACCCTGCTTTTAAAAACGGTACGATTCTGCATTTTACTAGTGCTGATACTTTATGAATGCGTTTTAATAAGAGCCATATTTCCTATGTTGCATCGATGTGCTGCAGCAGCGCAGTATGTGTGTATACAGCTCACTGCATGCACATTAAGTGCAATAAACCTTGAAAAGGAACTTGTGCAGTACTCGGGCGTTTTCACACACCCGAAGCGCGTGCACAGAAAGCTACCTCTCTTACAGACAGCATGCGATAGCAAATTCAGATCGCTTTCACAAATTATTGCACAAGTTACCATCTTGACTTATGACTTAAGTGAACATAAACAGATGAGAAAGAAAACGCATGTGTATCAATTAATTGGATCCATGCAATCTGTTTCAAACAACATGAGTTTCATATGTAATCAAACAACAAAAGAAAAAGAAAAATCACTCACTGATCTTGACTAACTTCGGTAGCTTTAATAAGGATCAATGTATATTTAATTTATACAGTTAAGACTATGCTGTGCTTTATTTTTACATTTTGATTACTTTATTCATTTTCTGAAATGAATGGCTTTAACCTTTTAACTAACTTACCAATGTTGCAAAGATCTATACATACCAGATACCAGTAGGCTTGGTAGTTGCTCACCATAGAAGTGGTACTGTGGCCATTTTTTTAAGGGGGATGAAATGCTCATAAAGAAGGGCAGGCACACACTGGTCATGTGAAAGATTTCTTTTTTTTTTCCATTAAATGATAAAATAACTATAAGCTTAATTTGGATCATCTATTATTCAATTACTTTTCCTTTTGTATTATGTTTTGTCTTGGTATCGTTTCAGTAGCAGTATTGAGATATTTTAGTCAAGTATCGTATCGAAGTCAAAATTTTGGAATCGTGACAACACTATTCAACTTTGCAAGGCATAGAAACATATCCATGATCAACGAATGTTTGATGTAATGATGGTCTTGGAACATCCCTTTTGTCTAACCTTAAAGACGTTTATGGTATTTCAATCTGAGGTCCCATGATGGGAAGGAAGTGTAGTACGAAGGTTTCAAACCCTGACTCACCCAGCATATGGTCTCTGATAGAGAGACTCAGGGTCCAGACTGGCGATGTCCACCGTTATCGCCTCATCAAAGTTCTTCAGGATCTTGACTGCCGCTTTTTTAGATCCTTGCTGAGAACATCAGGACAAAGTTACCCATACTTTCAACCATATTTTTGAAGAGTCCTAGAATTATTATGAAAAACAAGAGCAATGTGGCTTTTTGGGAGACCATCAAACCAGTGATCAATCACCTGGGCTTGTGACCCTTCCATGACGCTAGAGTTGCGGTCGCCTTCTGGGGTCCAGCCCTGGTTCGGAGTGTTGGCATTTCCTCCAGTAAACTCGTCCACCCGTACGGAGTTGATAAGGTCACTCAAATACTTGTAGTAAAGGTTGCTTGACAGAAAGCCTGGCATGTATACCTGAGGTTGAGAAAACAAGTAAACTTCAACAGGATTTTCTTTCCTAATACAAAGCTTCCACCTTCATAATTGTTTGCACATTTTTATATAAAAGTGTTGCAGCGACATAACCCACCTTCTCCATGGTGGTCCAGGCCTGTCTTATTGGAGTGTTGAAGCAGTCTGGGAGAGGTCCGCCTTCTCTACAGATATTGGATTCAATCTCCATCCGTACAGAGTCACCAAAACCCAACGGATTTGTGGCTTGGAGTGAAAAATACCTAAGCAGATCATATGAACTGTCACGTCTTCTGACTGCTAAAAGTACTGGCTATGATGTTGCCACATCTTAAACACTAGAGAGGCATGTGCATAATTGCATAGTGTCAAAATCGACAGGCATGCGAGTTGTCTGAATGACTAGTCAGTCATATGGAAGCTCTGTATAAAAATGCTGATTTGGGATCATGTCAACCATGAACCAATCAGACATGTTTACTAAAGGGTGCCAACATGCACTACCATTCACAAGTCTGGGGTCAGTAAGAGTTTCAACAAGGATGCATTCAATTTATAAAACAAAAAAAATGACAGTTAAGACATTTATAAATGTTACAAAGGATTTCTATTTTAAATAAATGCTGTTCTTTTCAACTTTCTATTTATTAAAGCATCCTGAAAAAATGGAGGAATGACTGCTGAAAACTCAGCTTTGCCATAACAGGAATAAATTACATTTTAAAAAATATTAAAGAGGTGGTTGATTGCGATTTCACCTTTTTAACCTTAGTTGGTGTGTAATGTTGCTGTTTGAGCATAAACAATATCTGCAAAGTTACAAAGCTGAAAGTTCAATGCAAACGGAGATATCGTCTTTTTAAATTCTGGCAGTTTAATGCCTACAAAAATGGCTTGTAGGGACTACAACGAGTTACTTCCCGGGTTTGTGATGTAACAAACCCAGATAAACCCCGCCCTCGGGAAAAGGCAGCAAAGGGGGCGAGGCCATGCTGCGCTGCTTTAGAGAGAAGGAAGAGAAAACTAGAGGTGCACGTTAGGGCTGCAAGGCTAATCGAATGCGATTGTCATGCGCATTTTGATAGTAATGCCGGTTCTGTAATCAGCAGGAAATCATCATCACGTGCTTTCAGATGGAGCAGAATTTACTACACAGAGCCGTAGTTCACTGACAAGTTACGCAAAAATATCGCAGACAATTTTATTGCGCAATTCTGAAATCGAAGAAATTGTTTGCGATAATGACAGCTGTTTGCATAGCTTCTCAGTGAACTACGGCTCTGTGAAGTAAATGCTGCTCCATCTGAAAGCATGTGACGTGTGTTTATTAGTCACGTTGAATCAATGAAAGCAGCTGAATCTTCTGTTTATTCAGCTGCAGCGATAGGCATTTCCCGGGTTTCTTCTGCAAGACGTATTTGGAGTTTCAGCGCGAGAGCGCCCTCTGGCCTTTGGATGGAGATTTACTGCTGATCACAGAACCGTGCTTCACTGAAAGATACGCATGACAATCGTAGCTTCTGTCGAATAGCGATCTCGATTCCATTTCGATTTATCGTGCAGCCCTAGTGCACGTAAAAATCTATTCATATATATGAATCGCGATTCTGTCTTCTAACGATTCTAATGGATTCACAAGTCCGCTGTCAAATCACTAGCCAATTTGGCGGGTTCTTTTCGTAAATTATATTCACTCATTCATTTCTTGGGGAAGTTCAAATACTAGTAATAGCAGGTTTAGCGCAAATACTGAACTCGTGAGACATCATGACATTATCGAGTATATTGCAAAAGCTAAATAAAACACACCTACAGAGGCACGCATACACGACGAGATGAAGTCTGGTTAGACCAACACAGGATTTAGTGCGCGTGCGCTTTTATAGTGCGCTCTTTCTCTGCATGATTCAGTCTATTAATATGCATTAACAATGATCACATACTTCAAGATAAGGAGGCAGAAAATTTATATATTTATATCAGTTCATATAGTTAATCAATATCACACGAAGAGTGCCGTTTTTTCTTAAAAAATCAGCATGGTTATAAATGTGATATTTATTTTATACAACAGTTCAATAAACAATAAGTTAATATCTAGAGACTTACGTTTTAGACACCATATTGGCTGTTTTTGCGCTATTTCTGTGCTATTTCGCCAACAAAAAAACATTTCAAACACAGCCACAGTACTGTTTTGCGTCTCTGAGCAACATGACGTTGTTTTGTTTCTGAATGAATAAACCGTGTAAATGATTTGGTTCAATCACAATGACTCACTTAAACTTGCTGCCACCTACTGGCGGTTTTAATTTCACATTTAAAGTATCTTTTAATTTTTTTAATAATTTCAAATATCAGTATTCAACATTTCATGTTTTAAATATCAAAACATTATTTATGCATTTGTAACTGCAGTTTAAAGCATTCCATGTCCCTCTAAGCTGCATTAACATGTGCAAATGCATCTAAATGCCACTTCATATGCAACTTCTGCAAAGATGAATTTTATTGATACTGATTTAATTTGATTAGTAACAGCCTAAATGTATTATTATTATAATTGACTGATTAAATGTAAGAATTTGACTCGAAAGATGATGTACACTTTTAGAAAAAAATGGTTTTATAAAGGTAAGAATGCCCATAAAAGTTCAAAATCAATTAAAAAATACTGGAAAAGATTAATTTCTATCACTGCTGTGAACTGACCACACAGAATATGAAGAATATCAAAAATTTTAGGAGTCAGCTGTCCACGGTAGTCCTTAAGATATCAGCACAATAACACACTCAGCAAAATATCGTCTAATTATCTTTATCGATAAAATCACAGAAAATATTGAGATATTATTTTTTGTCAATATCGCACACCCCTAGTACTGACAAAATGATTTGCAACGGTCGCTTTGTCACGCCCAGTGTAGACGGCCTCAAACTGTTAGTTTATTTCTGTCTTTTTTTTTTTGGCTAGTAGAAGTTATGAATGGCCGGTATCTTAAAAATTTAGTAGCCAAATTGGTTGGTGAGTGAAAAAGTTCATTTCAATCCCTGGATATAACCGTTTTTGGATCTGTTTTTAGTTGTTTTAATACTACAATTGATTGCTTCTGTTGTCCTCATTTGTAAGTCGCTTAGTATAAAAGCATCTGCTAAATAAATAATACTAAATAAATAAATAAAATAAACCGTATATTAAAAGCTAACATAAGCAGTAGCATTTACGAATAACAGCATATCTAAAAGTACGAGACAACAACAAACAAAAAACATAGGCCTACCATTAAAAGCCGTGCTTGCACAGGTTTTGCACGATCCTCTTCACCAATATCCTCTGCATCTCAATCGGGCTCAAACTGATAAGCGATATTAAAGACGCCGTTGTTTACAATACAACCGGAGCACATGTCGCTGAGGTGAGGGGCGGGAAGGAACGGGAGGTGAGGGGCGCACTAGAGGCGGTTTAGCCAATCACAACACACTGTGCCAGCTAACCAATCAGAGCCCATCACCTATTTCTGAGGGCGGGG